GTTTCCTAAATTACATCATGTAAGGAGCAATATTGTGGTAGCTTGTAACAATTAATTTTAGTTTTAAAACAAATATTCTGGTCAATTGCAATCCAGTGATCAATTTAAAATTTTGAAGAATGTAAGTATATTTTAGCAGAATGCAATTTATTTAATCCGAAATTCAATAGCGTTAATCCCATCATTAGCTTTCAGTATTGGTCATGCAAACCTTTCCAAATGCTTAAACTTATATGGTCAGCAAATGGTTACTTAAAGGTGTATTAGTCTACATTACCCAGCTTTTATCCATTCCAAGTGAACAGGTGCAATACACAGTAAGACACTGAGAAATTAATCCAATGAAAAGCTGGATTAACTACTCAAAATAGATGTCCTTAGATATCCTCGAGATAAATTTGACTAACAAGCACCTTGTTCTGTATTAAGAAATACAATTAGGTAAATATTTTTTTTAAAATCACCAAAAAACCCTTTTAAAGAACACCAGCTGTGATGATGGTATTCAATGATTTGCGATATATTTTTCAAATTATTATTTTTTAAAGACGTCATTTAAAAATGAAGCAAATTTGCAATTTTAAAGTTAGGCTACTTCTTTCTTTTTTATTTCCTATACATTTCAGAAAAATGTTCTTAAACCCCTTTCAAAGAAATGATTACACTGCAGCCTTTTCTTAAATCAATCCTTTGGTAACAGCATAACTGCTAAGTTTTCCCTATAAGAGCAATTGATGTCAGTCACGCTGCTGTTAGCCTCCCCTCTGATGATCTGCTATGCACGAAAGGCCTAAGGAGGAGCTGACAGAGCATAACGTCACTGCCGCCGGAGCCACGAGGAAGTCCGGCGGCCATCTTTAATGAGGGTCAGTGCTGCTTAACTCTGCATTACTCTGCAATATTGTGCAATACTACCCTGTTTTAACCCCTAATTATAATAAAACGCTTCTGGATATACTACACTATGGGCATTTGTTTTTTGGCTCCTTTTTGGAGCTATTAAACCTGCAGATAATCTCCACTGAATTCAGCATCCAGAGTAGGGAGCCCTGTACCCAGGCTGATCACCCATCCATCCTTAAGGGGACCTCTGGACCCAGCAGATTTCTATACTGCCCCAGGCTTGATGACATACCATAGAAGGAAGCTCACCATACACCTGATACCATCCGCCTATTTAAGAGATCCTTGGTGGTTATATATATATGTGCATTACCTATGCACTTCCGGTGAGTGCGCAATTTTACCATTTGTTCCAGTCACAAGTTTACTTAGAAATCTGCTGCTGAAAAGATTATCCACCTGTGCTATTTGAACTTTTCATTACACAATTCCTTTATTGGATGAACTATTATTTACAATTTATTATTCATTATTTATGATTGTATATTAGTGCTGCACTATATTTTATACTATTGTCATTTGAAGGTTTATTGTGGTTGCCTTGAGTGTTACAGCTATTATTTTTAGAGCGCTCACTTTATTATTATTTTTACTTTGTCTGTTCATAACTGCTAAGCTGTAGGAGGTAGTTCACAGTAAAGGCACTCAGCAGCAATTATGTTTTTTTTCAGGTTTTGTCCTTCTGGTGCTACCTGAATCTACCCTAAAGCATATCCAATTCTTCATAGTAAAAATTATGTACACCCTCTGCCCTTATTCCATAATTAAATGACCAATGCGTGAATAATCCATTAGTTTACCTTAGCATTGTCATTTGGGGGTCAAAGGACATACCTTTTTTTTTATAAATACAGACTTTGAGATAGTCTGTATTTTCATAACCACTTTGGAAATGTTTCAGGCAGTACTGGAAGGACAAAACCTAAAGCAATAATATATTATAGACGTTATGCTGTCACATACGTCATACAGTTTTTAGTTTACTATGTAGCTGTAGATTTCACTTTAAACAATGCTTTGAATGTTTGAACCCATTGTAAATGAGTAGAGTATAGAATGCATAGACAGCAAAATACCCACAATAATTTTTCTTCATTTGTCTACTGGTAAAATTTCAAGAGGATTTACTATAGTGAGGATACCCTTTTTATAAGCAGCCTCAAGTCTCTAACATTAGCACACACTGTATGACATCCAAGCCACATATTAATGCTAGACCAGGGATGAGCTTTGGTTTTGGGTTGACCAAAGTTTTGGGTCCAGGTTAAACCCAAGTCTTTCTTGGTACAATATAATGGAAAACTAATGTAGCCATTTGCTACATTAGTAAGATTTTTGAATCGTCACATTCTTGAAATTGAGCTGTGGAGCAGAGAAATGTCATTCATGGTGAGAGACCATCAGGATTGCATCAATTCGAGTGATTGGTGTGTATTGTGTTGGTGGACATCAATTGTTTTGATTGATGTGGCGCTACACTGGCTAGTGTGGGTCTTGTTGAAAAAGTGGATGAGTCAAAGTGTTGAAAGACTGTGCACCAGGGACATAACTAGGCCCCAGATGCTATTTTTGTTCTTGCTGGTGGCCCTTTAATGTCACTTGAGTGATACAGCAATTTACCCACTGCAACTTGTTCCTCCCCTACCGCAGTGAGACAGGGCTCTAATTGGCTATAGTTGCAACCAGGACAGAACCCTGGTTCAAAGGGCAGACTGGGCTAATAAATATGAGAAAGAAAGGAAGAGCAGTGCAGCTGTGCTGCCTAGGACCCAGAGACAAGGAAATGGGGCAGGGATGGGGGCTGGGGGAGAGGAAAGAGCAGCTGTGCTGTAAGTGCAAGAAACAGAACTTCCAGGGAGTAGTGGTGGAAAAGGTGTGCAGAAGGCATTGCCACAGTGGGAACGGATGTGCAGGGGTCAGTAGTGGAACAGGTGTGCTTGGGTAGCCATGGAACAGGTGTGTAGAAGGCATTGCCAACATGGGAACAGTTGTGCAGGGGTCAGTTACTGAAAAGCTGGGCCATGGGCAGTGGTAAAACAGGTGTGCAAAGGGTAGTGCTTTAGTGGAAACAGGTATGCATAGGGCACTGGTGAGCAGGGGGCAGTGGTAGAAAAGGTTTGAAAGATGAGCTGGTGGAAAAGGTATGCTGGGGGCAGTAGTGGAACAGGGGTGTAGTGCTTTAGTGGGAAAGGTGTGCAGGGGCAGTGGTAAAATAGCTGTGCAGGGGGAAATGATGGAACAGGCTTGCAGGTGAAAGTGCTGCAGTGGGAACAGGTATGCAGGAGTCAGTAAAAGAATAGGTGTCAAAGGGCAGTGCTGCAGTGGGAACAGCTGAGCAGGGGGGGGAAACGGTGTAAAAGTTTTAAAAAAGTCAGTGGTATAACCAGTGGTGTATTTTGGTTTTGTGCTGCCCTAGGCAAGACTAAAATCGGGCACCCCCCACATCTAAATTTGTCCCACCCCTTCCTGTTTAAGATCCACCCCTTCATCTGTAAACCCCACCCCTTCCTATTTAGGCTCCTCCTCTTCCTGTTAGAGCTCCACCCACTGGCAATTGCTATCCCTCCCACTGAGATCAACAATGGGGCACTATTCCTCCCACTGACACCAATGATGGGGTACTATTTCTTCCACACTGACACCAGTAATGGGGCACTATTCCTCCCATACTTACATCAATGATGGGGCACTATTCCTCCCACTGACACCAGTGATGGATCACTATTCCTCCCACTGACACCAATGATGGGGCACTATTCTTCCACTGACACCAAAGACGGGGCATTATTCCTCCAAATGACACAAATAATAGAATAAAATAATATAATGCTGCACTGCTATAAATAGATAACATTACATACAGTGTGTTGTTCATTTTAAACATCTAATAAAATATGTCCATGTTATCAAACCAAAATGCACAAATGAATAATTGCAGAAAAAATACAAAGATAAGTGTTTAAAGGATACATTTACCTCTTAGACAAAAAAGAATGCACTTTTTTTGGCAGGTTAAAAAATGTGCATTTATTATATTTGTTTGAAAGAGCCTGGAAAGCATTGCACTAGCGATCAACAGATCTCTGGTGCCATGCAGGTCTCCTTCAGATCTGTCAGAATATCTGCTTGGCTGGCCTGTACGGGATGTATGACAACGCAGATATATTGACAGGAAGATTTAATGAACTACCACAGCACTCCACAGCACCATGGTAGTTCATTGAACACTACAAGCCAACAGCTGCTAAGCCTGTTGGGACTTGCAGTTCATTCATTCACGAAAGTCCGTGAATTCCTCCCACTGACAACAACGGTGGGGCATTATTCCTCCCACTGACAACAATGATGGGGCATTATTCCTCCCACTGACACCAACGGTGGGGCATTATTCCTCCCACTGACATCAACAGTGGGGCATTATTCCTCCCACTGACACCAACGGTGGGGCATTATTCCTCCCACTGACAACGGTGGGGCACTATTCCTCCCACTGACAACAACGGTGGGGCATTATTCCTCCCACTGACACCAACGGTGGGGCATTATTCCTCCCACTGACACCAACGGTGGGGCATTATTCCTCCCACTGACACCAACGGTGGGGCATTATTCCTCCCACTGACACCAACAGTGGGGCATTATTCCTCCCACTGACAACAATGGTGGGGCATTATTCCTCCCACTGACAACAACGGTGGGGCACTATTCCTCCCACTGACAACAACGGTGGGGCATTATTCCTCCCACTGACAATGGTGGGGCACTATTCCTCCCACTGACACCAACGGTGGGACACTACTCCTCCCACTGACACCAACGGTGGGTAATTATTCCTCCCACTGACACCAACAGTGGGGCATTATTCCTCCCACTGACAACAACGGTGGGGCATTATTCCTCCCACTGACAACAACGGTGGGGCATTATTCCTCCCACTGACACCAACGGTGGGGCATTATTCCTCCCACTGTCATTGGTGTCACTGGGGGGGATAGTGTCCCAACATTGGTGTCAGTGGGAGGAATAGTACCCCATCATTGGTGTCAGTGGGGGAAGGAATAGTGTTCCATCATTGGTGTCAGTGGGGGGTGGAATAGTGCCCCATCATTGGTGTCAGTGGGGGGAGGAATAGTGCCCCATTGTTGGTGTCAGTGGGGGGAGGAATAGTGCCCCATTGTTGGTGTCAGTGGGGGGAGGAATAGTGCCCCATCGTTGGTGTCAGTGGGGGGGAAATAGTGCCCCATCATTGGTGTCAGTGGGAGGAATAATGCCCCATCATTAGTATCAGTGACACCAATGATGGGACACTATTCCTCCCACTGACACCAATGACACTTAACTTGCTGACCCCTGTTCCAGCCTAGGTGCTGCTGCAGCCAGCATACCTGGTTGCAGCAGCACCATCTGCACGGCACACTTACCAGGCGGTCAGCTGTCCTACTTCATTCACTCCGGTCGCTCCCTCACTCGATGTTCGCACTGCTGATCGGCTCCGCCTCCTCGCAGGTGACTGACCGCCTGTGTGCCTTTCCTAAGCTACAGTTCTGGCACCCAATCACCGGTGAGGAGACGCACCCCTGGGTATAACATATATGCAAAGGGAGGTGGTGGAACAGCTGTGCAGGGGCAGTGGTGGAACATTTGTGCAAGGGGCAGTGCTGCAATGGAAACAGGTGTGCAAGAGATAGAGGAGTACTAGATGTACAGTGCCACTATGGGAATAATTGTGCAGGGGGGGCAGTGGTGGGACAGGTGTGCATGGGGCAGTGGTGTAACAGGTATGCAGGGGCAGTGGTGGAACAGGCATGAAGGGAAAAATGTGGAACAGGTGTGCAGGGGGAAATGGTGGAACAGGTGTGCAGGGAGAAGTGGAACAGGTGTGTAGGGGGAAGTGGTGTTTAGATATGCAGGAGCATTAGTGGAACAGGTGTGCAGAGGGTAATATTGTGGTGGGATAATGAGTTCAAGGGCAGTGGTGGAACAGGCGGAGGAAGTGGCAGAAAGGATATGCAGAGAACAGTGCCGCAGCGGAAACAAGTTTCAACTTTATTGCTATCACAAGGGATTACCAACAACCTTTGTGATAGCTGGGCAGTGACAGGTACTCTATATTGAGAGATTTGGGCTCTATTAGACCCCAGATCTCTCTTATGACCTCAAAAGCATCTGATGAAACTAAGATTGCTTCTGATTTAATTTGTCACAGATTGAAAAATTGTTCGCTTGGGTCCTGTTGAAAAATGTGCATTGTAACCAGTCAGCTTCTATCTTCAGCTTCTTAAATTAATGAAAGAAGAAGCTGATTGGTTGTCACGCAAAATTGTTCCAGATTGTGGCTGTTCCAGTTTTGATAAATTCCCCTCAAAGTGTTTAAAAGTTATGTACATATTCATAACAGTTTCAAAAAATTAAAGTCAAAGGGGAAACCAAAGCACCACATCCATGAATATACATATACAAAGAAACAGGAGAGAACATCACTCCTTCAAGTTTAGGACTTTGTAGGTGCAAGGACATTCAATACTACACGGTTTTCATTATAAAACCACTGAAGATTGTATTACATACAGTATCTCACAGAAGTGAGTACACCCCTCACATTTTTGTAAATTTTTTTATATCTTTTTATGTGACAACATTGAAGAAATGACACTTTGCTACAAAGTAAAGTAGTGAGTGTACAGCTTGTATAACAGTGTAAATTTGCTGTCCCCTCAAAATAACTCAACACACAGCCATTAATGTCTAAACCACTGGCAACATAATTGAGTACACCCCTAAGTGAAAATGTCCAAATTGGGCCCAAAGTGTCAATATTTTGTGTGGCCACCATTATTTTCCAGCACTGCCTTAACCCTCTTGGGCATGGAGTTCACCAGAGCTTCACAGGTTGCCACTGGAGTCCTCTTCCACTTCTCAATGACAACATCACGGAGCTGGTGGATGTTAGAGACCTTGCACTCCTCCACCTTCCATTTTAGGATGCCCCACAGATGCTCAATAGGGTTTAGGTCTGGAGACATGCTTGGCCAGTCCATCACCTTTACCCTCAGCTTCCTTAGCAAGGCAGTGGTGATCTTGGAGGTGTGTTTGGGCTTTTTATCATGTTGGAATACTGCCCTGCGGCCCAGTCTCCAAATGGAAGGGAGCATGCTCTGCTTCAGTATATTACAGTACATGTTGGCATTCATGGTTCCCTCAATGAACTGTAGCTCCCCAGTGTTGGCAGCACTCATGCAGCCCCAGACCATGACATTCCCACCACCATGCTTGACTGTAGGCTAGACACACTTGTCTTTGTACTCCTTACCTGGTTGCCGCCACACATGCTTGACACCATCTGAACTAAATGAGTTTATCTTGGTCTCATCAGACTACAGGACATGGTTCCAGTAATCCATGTCCTTACTCTGCTTGTCTTCAGCAAACTGTCTGCAGGCTTTCTTTTGCATCATCTTTAGAAGAGGCTTCCTTCTGGGACGACAGCCATGCAGACCAATTTGATGCTGTGTGCGGTGTATGGTCTGAGCCCTGACAGACTGACCCCCCCACCCCTTCAACCTCTGCAGCAATGCTGGCAGCACTCATATGTCTATTTCCCAAAAACAACCTCTGGATATGACGCTGAGCACATGCACTCAACTTCTTTGATCGACCATGGCAAGGCCTGTTCTGAGTGGAACCTGTCCTGTTAAACCACTGTATGGTCTTGGCCACCGTGCTGCAGCTCAATTTCAGGGTCTTGGCAATATTTTTATAGCCTATGCCATCTTTATGTAGAGCAACAATTCTTTTTTTCAGATCCTCAAAGAGTTCTTTGCCATGAGGTGCCATGTTGAACTTCCAGTGACCAGTATGAGAAAGTGAGAGCGATAACATCAAATTTTAACACACCTGCTCCCCATTCACACCTGAGACCTTGTAACAATAACCAGTCACACGACACCAGGGAGCAAAAATGGCTAATTGGGCCCAATTTGGACATTTTTTACTTAGGGGTGTACTCACTTTTTGTTGTCAGCGGTTTAGACATTAATGGCTGTGTGTTAAGTTATTTTCAGGGGACAGCAAATTTACAATGTTATACAAGCTGTACACTCACTATTACAAAAGATATAATAAAATATTTACACAAATGTGAGGGGTGTACTCACTTCTGTGAGATACTGCATATATAATTAAAATACAATGTGTAATTGCTTAAAAACAATATGAGACATAGTTTCAATAAATCTCACAGATGTTAGTTCCAAACATTAAATATACTGTGTGATGAATCCCAACATGTTTCGCCCATCGGGCTTCCTCTGGGAATATGATTATATCACACTATAAAGGAACTAAAAAGAAATGAACAATACCTTATAAACAGAAAACAATACAACATATATTTTACAAGCTTTTGTGCAAAATAAGTGAATCTAAACCCACATTTTGCTATAACAGCAATATCAAACCACTCATAGCATTAATATCATTGGGAGGTCACTGGGCATCTTACCAATATCATTCAGGTCATGAAAAAACGTGTTAGAATCAGAGAAAGGTGGTACAAGAATATTGCCAGATAATTCAACAGGTCCCCCCAAAGGCAGAGGATAGTATTAGGCCGGTGATCATACAGGTATGGATAATGTCATATACTGGCAATGGGGTGGGGGGATGGGAAGGATTGCAAAGCTTGTAAGTTTCACTAACCAACTATGAGCATTCAGATAGATCTTGGAAGTGCCACTTCCTCCTGTGCAAACCCCCACCACCACCATCCCCATGTTTCCAGGCTCTGCTCTCCCACCTGCTCTCCTGGGACCCACATGATGGGTGTCTCTGGGTGGGAGACCAGTGCACAGCCATATTTCTGGCTTCTGATGTCACTTTCCCCAATCAAAGTGGCTGCTTAAGAAGCTAATAGAGCATGATCTACAGTTGAATAGCTTCAGTGGAGTGCAGGGGAAGTATCCCTTGATTTCTCATTAAAGTGGAAGTATAGGCTAAAATATACGTCTTCTACAGAATATAGGGTGTGACTTGAGTCCCAATCCGCTGCCAGAATCCCATTATATAATATCAAATGTATAGTGCAACTAAGGAAATGGGACTTTGAGGGTATTTATTAATTTTTTTTCTGAATACGGCTGGTTATCTGTCAATGGGTTCTTGCAGGTGCCTCACATCTACATGAGCCTGGGCTGGGAACCCATTAGATTCAAGGGCTGAATTGATTTTAATTGCATATGGCTGATAAATTACTTTCATTGTTAATGTAAGTCCTAAGATTTTTTGACATTCACGGTTTTAGATGATTATGCTTTATTATGTTTTATTTATGATCTTGTTTTGTATCATTTACAGATTGCGAAGTTCCATTTCATTCTTTGTATAAATTAAAAATATTTTTTTTACACATTTGTCTATTTTTTATTGATGCCCTGAGAGTCCCGTTTGCCCAATTGTACCCAATATACGATAAATATAAGTCCCATAGAGGAAGCAGGGAACTCTTAAGGCATTAGCATGCCAATACATTTGAACAATTTCATGCTCCCAACTTTGTGGGAACAGTTTGGGGATAGCCCCTTCCTGTTCCAACATGACTTTGCACCAGTGCATAAAGCAAGGTGCATAAAGACATGGATGAGAGAGATGGGGTGGAGGAACTTAACTGGCCTGCACAGAGTCCTGACCTCAACTCGATAGAACACCTTTGGGATGAATTAGAGTGGAGACTGCGAGCCAGGCCTTCTCGTCCGACATCAGTGCCTGACCTAACAAATGCGCTTCTGGAAGAATGGTCAAACATTCCCATAGATACACTCTTAAACCTTGTGGACAGCCTTCCCAGAAGAGTTGAAGCTGTTATAGCTGCAAAGGGTGGGCCAACTCAATATTGAACCCTACGAACTAAGACTGGGATGCCATTAAAGTTCATGTGCTTGTAAAGTCAGGTGTCCCAATTCTTTTGGCAATATAGTGTATATCCACATACGCTGGATTGAAAGCAACAATTCTAGGGCTATTAGTCATGGTTAAGTCTTAAATTATGAGAAATTGATAAGATCAGTTTAAGCTACACCTATTGAGAATTTCGATACTGAAGTTTGTTGTCATTTTTTGGACAGTTTTAGGGCTTGACATGTTAGGTGTCTATTTACTCAGAGCAACTTATGTTTTACCAAAAATGTGGTAACTATAACTACTGAAATTAAGTTTAGTGTATATTTTACTGATAAACTAAT